AATCCCAGCACTCGGGAGGCAGAGCCAGGCGGATCTCTGTGAGTTCGAGGCCAGCCTGGTCTACAGAGCGAGATCTAGGACAGGCACCAAAACTATACAGAGAAACCCTGTCTCCAAAACAAAACAAATCCCTGTTTTTGTAATAATACAATGAAACTGTGCACTGATGTCAGGTAACAGTTACTGAAAAGCAGAATCTGAAGCCTTGGCAGGGAAGGCTGTCCTGGAAGGATCGTTACAGTTACTGGAGTGAAGGAGCAAGTCTGAGATGACTGACAGGCAAGAGGCCAGTGCTGTGGAATTGGCATTTAGCTGCTCAGAATGTGCACTCTTAATTACACAAAATGCCTTGATCAATGTTTCCTAGTTTATCTTTTCAGGACAGTAGAACATGTTAAGTTCAGAAGCTCCATGTGAGGCATAATTACCTCCAAAATGTAATGATTTAAAATATTTTAGTTAGGGCTGGAGAGGTGGCTCAGTGGTTAAGAAGAGCACTGGCTGCTCTTCCAGAGGACCTGAGTTCAATTCCCATCACCCATATGGTGACTCACAACCACCTGTAATTAGATCTGATATCCTCTTCTGGCCTGCAGGCACACTGTATACATAATAAATAAATATTTTAAAATATTTTAGTTTATAATGCAATACAGCTATAGCATTTTTTAATGTTCGGGAAATTATTCAATTTTTTGTGTTGTATTTGAGACAGGTTCTCACTGTGTGGTACTGAGTACTAGTATTAAAGATGTGCACTGCACCCACCTTAATTATTCAGTTTTTTAACAGAATGTAACAGATGCTGACTCAAATTTATTTCCGTCTAAAAACACAAATTCTATCCCTTCCTTTAAACATACATATACTTGGGAAATCCATATAATCGATATCAAAAGCAGGCTCCAAGTAAGTCCTGCTTGTACAACAAGGCTTATTTTAAAGAGGAGGGCAGGACCAGTGAGATGATTCAGGGGGTAAAGGTGCCTGCCACCAAGTGTGACGACCTGAGTTTGATCCCTGAGGCCTACATGATGACTTTGGCAAGTTTTCCTCTGACCTTCACATGAGCACTGGCACACACACACACACACACACACACACACACACACACACACACACACACACGAAATGTTTTTCTTTTTCTTT